ATTCATTTTTTGATGCTTTCTTTTTTTAACTTTTATTTAGTAGATATAAATTCTAAAGTACAGTTTATGGATTACAATGGCTTTTCCCCCCCATAACTTCCCTCCCACCCGCAACCCGCCCATCTCCTGCTCCCTCTCCCATTCCATTCACATCAAGATTCATTTTCAATTATCTTTATATACAGAAGATTGATTCAGTATATATTAAGTAAAGATTTCAACAGTTTGCACAAAAACAGAAACAAAAAGTGCAAAATACTGTTTGAGCACTAGTCATATCATTAATTCACATTGGACTACAAATTAAGGACAGAGATCCTACATGAGGAGTAGGCGCACAGTAACTCCTGTTGTTTACTTAACAAATTGACACTCTTGTTTAAGGCGTCAGAAATCTCCCAGGCTCTAGTCATGAGTTGCCAAGGCCATGGAAGCCCCCTGAGCTCGCTGACTTTGATCTTATTTTAACAAGGCCATAGTCCAAGTGGAAGTTCTCTCTTCCCTTCAGAGAAAGGTACCTCCTTCTTTGATGGCCCCGTTCTTTCCACTGGGATCTCACTCGCAGAGATCTTTCATTTAGGTCCATTTTTTCCCCCAGAGTGTCTTGGCTTTCCATACCTAAAATACTCTCATGGGCTCTTCAGCTAGATCTGAATGCCTTAAGGGCTGATTCCGAGGCCAGAGTACTGTTTAGGACATCTGCCATTCTATGAGTCTGCTGTGTATCACGCTTCCCATGTTGGATTGTTCTCTCCCTTTTTTATTCTATCAGTTAGTATTAGCAGACACTAGTCTTGTTTATGTGATCCCTTTGACTCTCAGACCTATCAGTGTGATCAACTGTGAACTGAAATTAATCACTTGGACTAGTGAGATGGCATTGGTACATGCCACCTTGATGGGATTGTATTAGAATCCCCTGGCACATTCCTAACTCCACCACTTGGGGCAAGTCAGCTTGAGCATGTCCCAATTGTACATCTCCTCCCTCTCTTATTCCCACTCTTATATTTAACAGAGATCACTTTTCAGTTAACTTTAAACACCTAAGAATAATTGTGTGTTAACTACAGAGTCTAACCAATAGTGTTAAGTAGAACAAAAACATACTAAAAGGGATAAAGTATTAAATTGTACATCAACAGTGATGACAAGGGCAGATCAAGTCCTATTTCTCATAGTGTCCATTTATTTCACTTCACCAGGATTCCTTTTTGATGCTCAGTTAGTTGTCACTGATCAGGGAGAACATATGATATTCATCCCTCTGGGAGGGCCTTATTTCACTCAGCATGATGTTTTCCAGATTCCTCCATTTTATTGCAAATGACCAGATTTCATTGTTTTTGACTGCTATATAGTATTCTATAGAGTATATGTCCCATAATTTCTTTATCCAGTTTACTGTTGATGGGCATTTGGGTTGATTCCGTATCTTAGCTATTGTGAATTGAGCTGCAATAAACATTAAGGTGCAGACAGCTTTTGTGTTTGCCAATTTCATTTCCTTTGGGTAAATTCCAAGGAGTGGGATGGCTAGGTTGAATGGTAGGGTTACATTCAGGTTTCTGAGGAATCTCCAGACTGACTTCCATAGTGGCTTAGCCAGTTTGCATTCCCACCAACAGTGGGTTAGTGTCTTTTTTCCCCACATCCTCGCCAGCATCTGTTGTTGGTAGATTTCTTCATGTGCGCCATTCTAACCGGGGTGAGGTGAACCCCCATTGTGGTTTTGATTTGCATTTCCCTGATTGCTAGTGATCCTGAACATTTTTTCATGTGTCTGTTGGGCATTTGGATTTCCTCTTTTGAAAAATGTCTGTTGAGGTCCTTGGTCCCTCTCTTAAGTGGGTTGTTTGTTTTGATGTTGTGGAGTTTCTTGATCTCTTTGTAGATTTTGGTTATTAACCCTTTATCTGTTGCATAGTTTGCAAATATTTTTTCCCATTCTGTCGGTTGCCTCTTCACTGTCCTGACTGTTTCTTTTGCAGTACAGAAATTTCTCAATTTGATGCAATCCCAATAGTTGATTTTGGCTTTGACTGCCTGTGCTTCTGGGGTCTTTTTCAAGAAGTCTTTGCCTGTGCCAATATCTTGAAGGGTTTCTCCAATGTTCTTTAATAATTTGATGGTGTGGGTCATAGATTTAGGTCTTTAATCCATGTTGAGTGGATTTGTGTGTAAGGTGAAAGGTAGGGGTCTTGCTTCATGCTTCTGCATGTGGAAATCCAATTTTCCCAGCACCATTTATTGAATAGACTGTCCTTACTCCAGGGATTGGTTTTAGATCCTTGAGCAAATATAAGTTGGCTGTAGATATTGGGATTGATTTCTGGTGTTTCTATTCTGTTCCATTGGTCTATCCATCTGTTTCTGTACCTGTACCATGCTGTTTTGATAACAACTGCCCTGTAGTATGTCCTGAAATCTGGTATTGTGATACCTCTGGCTTTGTTTTTGTTGTACAAGATTGCTTTAGCTATTTGAGGTCTCCTGTGTCTCCATATGAATTTCAGCATCATTTTTTCCAGATCTGAGAAGAATGTCTTTGGTATTTTGATTGGTATTGCATTGAATCTATGAATTGCTTTTGGGAGAATGGACATTTTGATGATGTTGATTCTTCCAATCCATGAGCATGGAAGATTTTTCCATTTTTTGGTATCCTCTTCTATTTCTCTCTTTAAGGTTTTGTAATTCTCATTGTAGAGATCTTTAATGTCCTTGGTTAAGTTTATTCCAAGGTATTTGATTGGTTTTGTAGCTATTGTGAATGGGATTGATCTTAGCAGTTCTTTCTCAGCCGTGGTATTGCCTGTGTATACAAAGACTGCTGATTTTTGTGCATTGACTTTATATTCTGCTACTTTGCCAAACTCTTCTATCAGTTCCAATAGTCTCTTAGTAGAGTTCTGTGGGTCCCCTAAGTAAAGAATCATAACATCTGCAAAGAGGAATACTTTGAGTTCTTCCTTCCCAATTTGTATCCCTTTAATTTCTTTTTCTTGCCTAATAGCTCTGGCTAGAACTTCCAGAACTATATTGAATAGCAGTGGTGAGAGTGGGCATCCCTGTCTGGTACCAAATGTCAGTGGAAATGCTTCCAACTTTTCCCCATTCAATAGGATGTTGGCTGTGGGTTTTTCATAAATTGCTTTGACTGTATTGAGGAATCTTCCTTCTATACCCAGTTTGGTTAGGGTTTTCATTGAAAGGGTGTTGTATTTTATCAAATGCTTTCTCGGCATCTATTGAGAGAATCATATGGTTTTTCTTCTGCAGTCTGTTAATGTGGTGTATCACATTGATTGATATGCGAACATTTAAACATCCCTGCATACCAGGGATAAATCCCACTTGGTCTGGGTGGATGATCTTTCTGATGTGTTGTTGCATTCTTTGGCCAGAATTTTATTGAGGATTTTTGTGTCTATGTTCATCAGGGATATTGGTCTGTAATTTTCTTTAAATGTTGCATCTTTCTCCTGCTTAGGAATTAAGGTGATGGTGGCTTCATAGAAAGAATTTTGGAGGATTCCCTCTTTTTTTGATTGTTCTGAATTGTTTGAGATGACTTGGAGTTAGTTCTTCTTTGAATGTCTGATAGAATTCAGCAGTGAATCCATCTGTTCTATCCAGAGCTGATAATGTTATTATTAAACATATAATTGTGTTGTGTGAAATTAAGAATAATATCAATTTTAAAAGTCCTTGCTCAGGGCCAGTGCTGTGGCACAATAGGTTAAGCCTCTGCCAGTGGCACTGGCATCCCATATGGGATCTGGTTCTAGTCCCAGCTCTTCCTCTTCTGATCCAGCTCTCTGCTATGGCCTGTAAAAGCAGTGGAAGACGGCCCAGGTTCTTGGGCCCCTGCACCTGTGTGAGAAACCCAGAAGATCCTGGCTCCTGGATTCAGATGGATTTAGCTCTTGCCATCGGGGCTATTTGGGGAGTGAACCAGCAGATGGAAGACCTTTCTTTCTGTGCCTCTTCTCACTGTCTGTAACTCTACTTCTCAAATAAATAAAATCTGTTTTTTTAAATTTTATTTAATGAATATAAATTTCCAAAGTACGATTTATGGATTACAATGGCTTCCCCCACATACCGTCCCTCCCACCCACTACCCTCCCCTTTCCCACTCCCTCTCCCCTTCCATTCACATCAAGATTCATTTTCGATTCTCTTAATATACAGAAGATCAGCTTAGTATACATTAAGTAAGGATTTCAACAGTTTGCTCTCACACAGAAACATAAAGTGAGAAATAATAGATGATTTTTTTTTAAATGATGATGAAATCAGATCAGACCTATTGTCATGTTTAATCCCAGTAAGAGTCAAGTTGGGAATTGATAATTTCTTTCTTTCTTTTTTTTTTACAGAGGATCAGTTTAGTATGCATTAAGTAAAGATTTCAACAGTTTGCACCCCCAGAAAAACACAAAGTGAAATATATTGTTTGAGTACTCGTTATAGCATTAAATCTCAATACACAGCACATCAAGGACAGAGATCCTACATGAGGAGTAAGTGCACAGTGACTCCTGTTAAGAAAAGTCTTTACTGAAGATGAAATTGACTCCTAATACACTTCAGACTGTTTAATCAGAATCTTATATAATGTTTCAATAAAGGCAGGCTTAAGTACCCTGTGCTTTCATAGTCAGAAAATGCTAATATCATGAAAACACAATTTCAGTGCAGCTGTTAATTCCCCAGGAAACTGGCTAGGACTCGGATGGACATGGACCCTAGTGATAAACAATTATTTAGAATTTAGAGAAGCTAACTCTGGACAAGGCCTTCATCCTCCTGAAGTTCCACGTAGGAATCTGTCTTCCCTAAAACCTCCCCAACCGTCACCAGGGCCCAGCCGCCTTTGAAAGCAAGGCCATTGCTCAGAGGGGCGGACCTGCCATAGCCGCTGATTTTCCGCCGCGGTGTGTCCCTGCGCATGCGCAGAGACGCGCCTTCCGGGTGCGCGCGAGTGCGCTTGCGTTTAACGGATTGACTTGGCGCCATCTCTTTGAGCTGAGGTGGAGAAACGCCAAGCCTTTCTGTTGGGATGTGGAAGCGAGAGGTTTTTTTCTTCTCCAGGGCTTGCCGTAAGTTTCCCATGCTGGGAAAGGTCACCACAAGTCTTGGCCCTGAAGATGGCTTTACCTCCCCATTTAAGAAGGGCGATTGTCTCTTCATCTCCATGTCTGGAAAGTCAAATGGGATAAAATCGCAGTCCAGGTACCGCTTTCCACCCAAGGATCTCGGGAAGCTGCACACAGGTGCCCACGAGGGTGAGGAGTCCGCGGGCAGCAGCTCAGGGAAGTGGCGGGAACCTTGGCGACCAGAACAGGTGCCGGGGACTGGAAGCCAGGAGCAGGTGCCGGGGACTGGAAGCCAGGAGCGAGGGCCGGGGGCCCTGGCAGATGGGGAGAAAGGCGGCCTTCGCGGACTCGGCGGTGGCAGCGTCCCCACCCTCCTGTAACCGGGAACGCTGGGCTCCCAGCCACCCGCACAGGCTCCTCCACACCTGAGTGAGAAACTGCCCAGGCCACCTTTCAGAGCAGCGGAAGCAAAGCGAGATTTCAGTCATTTTCCGAGTCTACTGCAATCCCCCTTAGAGAGCACTTTCCCGACATGAACAGTAATTCAAACACTTATTCTGTACAGTTTAATATATTTTATTGTGTATGCTGTATACATTATGGATAATTCATACAGAGAGAAATAACATGGCTCAGACTTAGTGTCCTCAGGTAATGGTCCAAGACTTAAGTTTCCAGCTAAAGTTTCAGGGAACAAGAACCTAAAATTAAAATGAGTAAATAACATTTAAAAATGGAAAAATAAAATTAGAAATGGGTATAGTTAAAAATTAAATTGAGTAAATAAAAATACTATCTCTTTACATAGAATGTCTGCATATGTAATGCAATTTAATTTTTTCTTATTGATAAAATTTACAGGTAATTTAAGTACAATAATACAGTGGGGATTGAACTAGAAACAATGAGAGTCATTAAGGTCAAAGAAAATTACACCACTCATATTAACTCAAAATATAATTAAATTTTCTTAAAGATTTTATTTATTTATTTGACAGAGTTATAGACAGTGAGAGAGAGAGAGAGAGAGAGAAAGGTCTTCCTTCTGTTGCTTCACTCCCCAAATGGCCGTAATGGCCAGAGGGCCAGAGCTGCGCTGATCCGAAGCCAGGAGCCAGGAGCTTCTTCCGGGTCTCTCACAGGGTGCAGGGGCACAAGCACTTGGGCCATCTTCTACTGCTTTCCCAGCCCCAGCAGAGAGCTGGATTGGAAGAGGAGCAACTGGGACTAGAACCGGTGCCCATATGGGATGCTGTTGCTGCAGGTGGAGGATTAACCTAGTGCACCTTGGCGCCAGCCCCAATATAATTGAATTTATATCAAGCTTTCTGATTGTCAAAGCAAAAGGAAATACTAAGTTATTGGTAGTGTTTGATAGAAAGAAATGAACCATATTTTATTTTTTAGTTTTTTTTTGAAAGGTAGAGAGAGAGAGAGAGACATATACAATTCAGAGAGAAAGAGAGAGAGAGAGAGAGAGAGAGAGAGAGAGAGAGAGAGACATATACAATTCACCCACTGGTGCAATCCAGGGATGAATTAGGTGGAAGCCAGAAACTTAATCTGGGTCCCCCCACGTAAGTTGCAAGGATTCAAGTACTTGAACCACATTCTGTAATTCAAGAAGCTGGAATTTTAAATGGAACCAGGATTTGAATCAGGATTTGAACAGGTACTCAAGTGAGGGATATAATTGTAGCAAGTAGTGTCTTGGGCGCTAAACCAAATGCCTATCCTTAAATATATTTTCCAATAAAATCAAGCTTTTATGGGTACTGAAACCTGCTTGTAAAACATTATTTAAGTTCTTCATAAACAGTCCCATTAAATTTTGATTTTTTTGATAGCTTATTTTCAGGACTAGTATACTATGCAATTACTGAATGTAATGATAAGCAGTATGAATGTGTTAAATTCATTTTAATTCTGACAAAAAATCTGTGACTTACATAATATGTATATTGTAAAGGACAGCCAGTAGACTTCCCTAAACCAAAATATTATCAGGTCAAAATGATATATTACAGGAGTTTTCAGTTAGGGGCAAATGTGTAACACTATATTAAGCCACCATTTAGGACATCCATATTGATACTGGAGTAGTGACATCTATCCTGGCACCCCCATTTCCGATCCAGCTTCCTGTGAATACATACTGAGAAACAGCAGATGATGGCCCAACTGGGCTTCTTCCACACACATGAGAGACATAGATGGAGTTCCTGGTTAATGGATCCTTACTCCTGACTGTAGCTTTGTCCAGCCCTGATAGTTGTGGTAATTTGGGGAGCACCTGCAGATGGAAGGTCTGTCTCCTGCTCTACTTTTCAAGTAGAAGAAAATAAATAAATAGCTTTTGAAACCCAAAAATACAGATTTAAAATATAAAAGGTATAATTTAAAAAGATAATCTTTTGTTTTATAAAGAGATTTCATTTGAATGAAATGAGCCTGCACCATGGCTCACTTGGTTCATCTTCTGCCTGCACCACCGGTATCCCCTATGGGCACCGGGTTCTAGTCCTGATTGCTTTTCTTCCAGTCCAGCTCTCTGCTGTGGCCCGGGGAAGGCAGTGGAGGATGGCCCAAGTGCTTGGGCACTTGCACCCGCGTAGGAGATGAGGAAGAAGCGCCTGGCTCCTGGCTTTGGATTGGCGCAGTGCGCCGGCCTTAGCAACCATTTAGGGGATGAACCAACGAAAAGAAGACCTTTCTCTCTGTCTCTCTCTCTCACTAACTCTGCCTGTCAAAAAAAAAAAAAAAAAAAGGAAACTACCATTTGACAAGAAATCACTTCTTTTAAGAAGGCTTGCGGTTTTGCTCATAAATGATAATTGGCCCTTCTGTAATTTACTTATATTGCCAAGTATTTTTAATGATCACAACTATAATAATTTTTACAGATGGCTATGATTTTATCACTCAGTTACCTAAAACATCTTGAGAGAATTATGAGTGGCCTTAAGTTAAAACATCTATATTGCTAATTGAACAACTTGAAAGTTATTGTAAACATAAGACCAGTGCATGAATATAAGACCTTTTTACATAATACTATAGTTCTAGTATAGCATATATTCAGTCCTGCTTAGCACTGCACATCAAATACTGATATGTTATAATGCTGTCTCAGAAATATCCTTATATTTAAATTGAATGAAAATTATCATGTAATGTAAATCTCAGCCAAGGAATTAATATAGTTCCCATTGTATTTTTCTCAGTGTGAGTGTCATCCCTAGTATATTTTACAGATTCTGCTTCTCCTAGGTCTTTACCAAAGTTCAAGTTATCACTATGTACTACTAGGAATAAAACTGTGTTCCCTGAAACTTTGCCTTCTGAAAAATTAGTCAGATCTGCGGCTGTTCTTCTATATTAGCAAAAATTTAGATCTGATGATGTTACCCCCTAGGTTAAAACGTAACCATGGGGGCCAGCATTATGGCTCATCAGATTAAGCCTTGGCTTGTGATGCTGTCACATGATATCAGAGTGTCTGTTCAAGTCATCATTGTTCTGCTTCCAATCCAGCTCCCTGCTTATGCACCTGGGAAGGCAGTAGATGGTGGCACAAGAAGCTAGGCCCCTGCCACCTATGTGAGAGACCTGGATGGAGATCCAGGATACTGGCTTTGGCCCAGCTCAGCCCTGGACATTGAGGTTATTTGGGGAATGAACCAGCAGATTGATGACCTCATTCCTTGTAGGCTTCTCCATCACTCTGCCCTTTTACCTTTGAATAATTTTATTTTATTTTTTTGATAGGCAGAGTGGATAGAGAGAGAGACAGAGAGAAAGATCTTCCTTTACCGTTGCTTCACCCTCCAATGGCCACTGCGGCCAGTGCTCTGTGGCCGGCGCACCGCACCGATCCGAAGCTGGGAGCCAGGTGCTTCTCCTGGCAGGGCCTAAGGACTTGGGCCATCCTCCACTGCACTCCCAGGCCACAGCAGAGAGCTGGACAGGAAGAGGGGCAACCGGGACAGAATCTGGTGCCCCGACCGGGACTAGAACCTGGTGTGCCGGCGCCGCAAGGCGGAGGATTAGCCTGTTGAGCTGCGGCACCGGCCTGAATAAATTTTTAAAAACAGCTTTTTTGTTACTTGTCATTACCATAATATATGTATATAGAATTTATCCATTTCTTTGCGATTATAAATTTGTTCTCATGCAATTATTCATAGTAATTTCTTACAATCCTTTGTATTTCTGTGGTATCAGTTATGATATGTCCTCTATCTCTGATTTTATTTATTTGAATTTTTCTCTATTTTTCTTTGTTAGTTTGTCTAAAAGTTTGGGTATCATGTTTATTTTCTGTAAGAAACAGCATTTGGTTGTGTTGATCTTTTATATTATTTTTCTAGTTTCAGTTTTACTTATTTATATTTTGAATTTCACTATTTTTCACCTCCTGTTTATTTTGCATTGGTTTATTCTTGTTTTACCGAGTCCTTGGGATGCGTGATTAAGTCATTTATTTGAGATTGTTCTAATTTTTTTTAATGTAAGCACTTATAAACTTTCTTCTTATTTTGCTTTTGCTGTATCTCATAGGTTTTGATATGTTGTGTTTTCCTTTTCATTTATTTCAGACGAGATCGGGCGCGTTCAGGGTGGTATGGCCGTAGACCCTTTTCATTTATTTCAAGAACCTTTTACTTTAATTTTAATTCCTTCAGTGACTCTGGTCATTCAGTAGCCTGTTGTTTACTTTCCATGTATTTGTAAATATTCTATTGCTCTTGTTGTTAATTCTAGTTTTATTCTTTTGAGGTCTGAGAAGCTACATGGATTATTTTAATCTTTTAAAGTTCAGTGAGACTTAATTTGAGTCCTAATGCATGAATTGATAGCAGAAAATCCTCCATGCTCTGATGAGAATATGTATTCTGTAGCTGTTGGATGAAATGTTCTGTCACTGTTTGTTAGGACCATTTGCTCAGTAGTGTGTTTGAACTCTAATATACCTTTGTTGATTTTCTGTCTGGATGACCTTTCCACTGATGGCCGTGTGTCACTGACGTCCCCGACTATTCCTGTTTTGGAGTCATCTCTTCCTTTAGGTCTAATAATATGTATATGTCTTTGTAGTATTGTGTTTGGTGAATATATATTTATGATTATTATACC